GCCATTTTTACAGATATTTATAGCTTCTGGGACCACAGTTCCTAACAGGTGTACTGGAAGGTGGCATGCTTATTAACCATGTGGATTTAAGGATCTTATTTATTTATGTATGTATGTACCTTTCTTTCCTCCCTCCCTCCCTCCCTCTATTTCTTTCTTATACTTTCGGTCACTTGGAGTCAAACTAATACCTAAAAGGGACATGCCACTCAGTTGGAAACTGTGGTAGTTTACAATGTACTACACTGCATAGAAATTTTCTTGAGTTTGGCAAGGGACCTTGTACCATTCCAACCCATTCTGTGACCAACTTATCCCAACATGGGAGTCTTTGAGTTAGGTGGCAAGTGTTCTAACAGTTCTTAAATTCTTGATCTGTGACCACCAAGTTTTGTGGCTTTTTGGTTTCTGAGATCCATGTTAGCAGTAGCCTTTATCTATACAAAACAAGGTAAACATGTTCACCAAAACAAACCAGCAGCAACCAAGACACACTGCTGCAGAAGTCCATGTACACCACCAGTAACTCCCAGCATGGGGGACTTCCCTGGCAGTCCAATGGTTAGGACCCTGCACTTTCACTGCAAGGGGCACAGGTCCAATCCCTGGTCGGGAACTAGGATCCAGCATGCCTCAGGGCATGGCCAAATTAAAAAAAAAATCCCAGCATGGACTAAATAAGGAGACTCTAGCAAATGGGATCAATAGACTGGAACTGGGGAAAGGACTGTATCAGCAACCCCAGTAAAGGGGAAATGCAGGGTGCAACTTGTGAAAGGGATTCCAAACAAGCAGGAGATTGCAGACTGAACTAAGAACTAGGGACTAGGGTTCTGGATGGAACCATCTTCTAGCTCAAGCTGACCCACTAAACCCTTGACTGGAAAGTCAATTCGATTGGGAGTACAACAGAGAGCAGAGCTCAGAAATGAGAGGAACTTATCCACAACCCTCAGAAATGGTGAGAAAGACAGTGAACTCGAAAAAAGGTTTGCTGGTACCATGCCTGTGTGTGTTTTTTTTAATTAATTAATTATTTTTTGGCTGTGCTGCATGGCACACGGCATGTGGGATCTCAGTTCCCTGGGATGAACCTGTGCCCCCTGTGGTGGAAGTGCAGAGTCTTAACCACTGGACCACCAGGGAAGTCCCCCATGCCTCTGTTTCTGGTCATCTCTGAATACCGTTGGAAAATCCTTTGATCCCACTGCTGCCACCAAATCTGTTAAATAGCAAAAATTCACTGAGTAAATTTAAAGATCAAATTGGCTTTATTGAACAATTGATGAACTGGGCAGTGTCCCATCTGGCAAGTAGAAAGGCACACCACTGAGCTTCAGAATAGGAAAGGTTTTCAAAAGTGGAAAGGAAATTATTAGCAAGGAATGCATCGTTTCAGGCAATGCCGCCCTCCTAAGGGGGATGGAGGGGGCCTGTCAAGGGGATTACCTCACTAGTGCTGAACAGGAAAACCCAGATCGACTGGTTAAAGGTCACACTCCTGGGAAAGACTGAAAGTGCAATTTGGCTAGGTAGTAAGTTTTGGCTTGCTGACATGGGATTCAGCACAAGTGACTACATTTTGGGCCCGATGTCTCCTTTTTTTTTTAACACATGATGTCATAATCCATACAAGACAGGGAGGCTGCTGTCACACCCCCCACAACCCACTTGGGTTTATGCCCCATCAGAAGCCCCACCCTGCCCTCTCACAGTTACCAATATCCCAAACTTTTAAAAATCATTTCCTTTCATTTACTTTTAGTTTCATCAATAATTTTTCCTGTTTTATATTGCATGTAAATAGAGTCAAATGGTATGTATCATTTTATGTCGTGTCTTTTTTTTTAAATATCAGCTTTAACAGTCCACTTTTTAAATTTTATTTATTTTTTAATTTTAGCTGTGCTGGGTCTTCATTATGGCACAAGGGTTTCTCTAGTTGTGGCACTCGGACTTAGCTGCCCCTTGGCATGTGGGATCTTAGTTCCCCAACCAGGGATCGAACGTGTGTCCCCTGCATTGGAAGGTGGATTCTTAACTACTGGACCACCAGAGAAGTCCCTATCAAGTGTCTTTTGTTCAAAAATGTTTTGCCGTCCACAGCTTGGTAATTTATGCACTTTTATTAATCTATTTTTATGCTTGTAGGACTATACCATTTTCATGAAATGATTCAACTATTAGGAGCTTTTTTCCCCCACATTTTTGCCATTGGGACCAATGTTTGTAATAACATTCTCTTACAATATGTTTTTATTTTTTTAATTTATTTTTATTTTTTGGCCACACCACGGGGCATGCGGGATCTTAGTTCCCAGACCAGGGATCGAACCCACACCCCCTTGCAGTAGAAGCTCAGAGTCTTAAACACTGGACCGCCAGGGAAGTCCCTAAAATATTTTTAAAATTGTAATAAAATTCTCATAAGTTTATCTTCTGTCTTAGTATGCCCTGATCTCATCTTCATCTCAGCACACTCCAAGTTCAACTCCTTACACTCCAGCAATATTCTTCTCCATTGCCCACGACCTACATGTCAGTTGATGGCAATACCATCATGCCAGTTTTTCCTGCACAAAATAATAGAGCCACTCTTGACTCTTCCTCTCACCCCACCTTCAAGCCATCAAGAAATTCTGATGGCTCTTACTTCAAATTACATCCGGGCTCCAACCTGGCACATCATTGCCACTGCCAGCAACCCCATCTGATCCACCACCTTAAGTGACAACATCCTAGAGTCTGTTCTCAAGGTAACACAGGGACTTTGTAAAGCTGCCTCATCTGGCCACTTTTAGGCTCTGTCACTCATGGCCAATGTCAGTGCACCACAGCATGTCAGTGCATCAGGACATGATGTGCCTACCCACCGCCATTGCTCTCCTCTCACCTCTGCTGTTCTTGCCACCAGCACACTCTGCTCCAGAAACACTGGCCTCTGGCTGTCCTTCAAATATCCAAGGCCCACACCCTCCTTAGGAACTACATTAGTCTGCTTGGGCTGCCCTAACAAAGCACCGGAGACATGGTGGTTTAAACAACAGAAACTTATTTTCTCACAGTTTAGGAGGCTGGCCGTATGAAATGAAGTGATCAGCAGGGCTGGCTACTTCTGGAGACTCTGAGGAGGAACGTGTTCTAGGCATATCTTCTAGCTTCTGGAGGTTGCCAACAATCCTTCGCATGACTTGGCTTGTACAGAGATCACACCAATCTCTGCTCTGTCTTTACATGGTGAAGACATGTCTGTCTCCTGTGCAGGTCTCTGTGCCCAAATTTCCCTCTTTTTATAAGGATACACATCATTGGATTAGGACCGACACCAATCCAATGTGACCACATCCTGATTACATCTGCAAAGACCTTATTCCAAATCAGGTTGTGTCAGTGATTCCAGGTGGACATGAAATCGGTGGTGGGGCAGGGGAGGACACACTACTTAAGTCAGTATATGTGTACGTATTTTATGTGGGGGGTTGTGCCGTGTGGCACGAGGGATCTTAGTTCCCTGACCAGGGATCGAGCCCGTGCCCCTTGCATTGGGAACGTGAAGTCTTAACCACTGGACCAGCAGGGAAGTCCCACACATTTGTATATATTTTAATAATCCATTTAGGTATCAACTTCCAGTGTTATCTGAAATAGTTAGTTTAAACTTCTGCTGTAATATTCCCTGGAATAAATGAATGAATGAAACATCCATCTCCATATCCCTCTCATCCCCACTGTGCTACATTTCTTGGTACTACTGTGAAAGGTCAATGAAATCTAAAGGTAGATATGTTTCTGCTGAATTGTTGTTTCACTGAGGGTAAGGCTGGGAGGTATGTTTCCCAGGATCCCCGCCTTTACGATTCCAGGTTACAATTCACCAACAGCTTAACTCATATGAGATTTGGAAGGCACCAGTGAAGAAATCATTCCTCCCAGGGTTTGGAACCACCATATACAGACAGACCAGTGCACAGGGGCTTGTGGGGCAACCAGGTAGGAGCTCGTGATCACCAGCCAGGTCAATCAAGTAAGTAATCAAACCAGATGCCAACTTTTTCTCTTCCATTTTCTAGGGGTCCTGGCTTCCACACGTAACCTCTATAAACCCCCATCATGGATCAGATTCTGTAGCCAGAAATCCACAGGGTTGGGTTCATCAAACATGTCTGATTGGGACTGTTCCACATGGGCAGAGCCAGAAGTCAAAAAACGGTGCTGGAACTCAGGCTCACCAGGTTGCCATGCATCTCTGTCTCCTGATGGTACAGAAGACCTGAGAATCATGGTTTCCACACTTCTGCTTTCCAGACCTCATGCTTCTTCCTCATCTTAAGAACTTTAACTCAGAACCACTAACAGAAGGACTCTGGATATACAGTTTCCCACCTTACCCAAGCTGACAACACAATTCAGTAGAACCGTCTGGACAGGAGCTTTCATCTTCATGCCAGCAAGTTGCACTTCTTAACTCAATTATCATGTCTGATTTCCAACCAAGATCATGGACATGAACAGAGGCCAAATTACAAACATAATCAGATGAGAATGTTATTTTCCAAGACCTTCCACAATTACTAATTTCTGTGAGAAACAAAGATACGGTATCTGCTAGCAACAAACAACTTGGAAGACACACCTTTCGGTAATGAAGGTGCAAGGGGAGGGTAAATATTGAGTCAGAAAATTCCAGTATCTGTAACAGTGGACCAGGAAAGACATTTCAACAATACAGACCTCATATCATGATCACATATTAGGAAGATAATACAAAGTAAGAATCAAAAGCTTTTCACCTAAAAATTATACCAAGTTACACATGAAAAAAAAAACAAAAACTGAAAACCACTTATCACCCCTGGGTTCAAAAGACATCATAATGGGAATTCCCTGGCAGTCCAGTGGTTAGGACTCTGTGCTTCTACTGCAGGGGGCATGCGTTTGATCCCTGGTCAGGGAACTAAGATCCCGCAGGCTGAGCAGGGCAACCAAAAAAAAAGACACTGTAATGGAAATGAGGCAAGCTTTATATGACTGTATGATTATTTAAAGTTGGAGATAACAAAATATAAGTAGTACAGATGAAGTAGACATAGAGAGATAGTTATTATCTTCAGTATTCAGATCAGCAATATGAGCTAGAAATTAATACACTGGGATCCCTATTCAGGATGAGGCACTTACCAAGGCAAAACCATATTTATCTCTGTTAAAAGATTTCTATTGTGCTCTGAGTTTTCATGTACAAAGTAAGTGAAGTGCTGAAGGTTTTCCCACGTTTTCCCTTTCATAAGTTTTTCTCTACAGTGTGCTGCTCACATTACAAGTTTGAAGAGAGAATGAAGTCTCTCCCACGGTCCTTGGATTCAGAGTTTCTCCCCAGCATGTATCCTCATGTGTCCTCGCAGGTTTGCGGGGTACCAGAAGGCTTTCCCACATTGCTGACATTCATAGGGCTTCTCCTCACTGTGCATTCTTACGTGCTTTCGTAAGGACGAGGGCCAACAGAAAGCTTTCCCACACTGTGTACATCTGTAGGCTCTCTCCCCACTGTGCGTTCTCATGTGTCCTCGAAGGGAGGCGTGGCGAGTGAAGGCTTTCCTGCAGTGCTGGCATTCGAAGGGCCTCTCCCCAGTGTGCGTTCTCTCATGCTCCCGGAGGGATGTGGAACAACTGTAGGCTTTCCCGCATTCCATACATTCATAGGGTTTCACTCCGCTGTGCATTCTAACATGCTTTTTAAAATATCGCTGATGCCTGAAGGCTTTCCCACAGTGCTGACATTCATAGGGTTTCTCTTCGCTGTGTGTTCGTGCGTGTTCTCGAAGGGATGAGGAGCAACTGTAGGCTTTGCCGCATTCCATACATTCATAGGGTTTCATGCCACTGTGTGTTTTCACGTGTCTTCTGAAGTATTTGGGACAACTGAAGGTTTTCCCACATTCCTTACACACGTAAGGTTTCTCTCCAGTGTGCATTGTCACATGTCCTCCCAGGGATGCAGGATATCGGAAGGTTTTCTCACATTCCTTACATTCATAGGGCTTCTCTCCAGTGTGAGTTCTCACATGCCGTGCAAGGTAGGAATAATACATAAAGGATTTCCCACATACTTTACACACATGGATTTTCTGTCGATGGTGACCTCTCTCACGTCCCTTAAAGGATGAGGGACAAGTGAGAGCTTTTCCAGACTTCTTACACTCTAAAGACTGTTTACTACTGCCACTCTTCACATATCTCTTAGATGCTCTCCCAGCATCCTGATGTTTTTCCAGTTTCTCTACAATGTGTGTTTCCCCAGGAGGATTTAGGCACGAGACACAGCTGCAGGCTTCCCCACGTTCTTCACATGGATAAGGTTTGTGTCCAGGGTGAGATCTTTGCTGATTCTTCTGGAAAGAACAATCCCTGAAAGCTTTTCCACACTTAGTGCATTTATAGGGCTGAATTCCAGTCGGATAACCCTTATACACAGTAAGACGTGTAATCTGGTTCAGGGTTTCTCCACATTGATGACCTTCATTACCTTTGCAGAGATGCTCCACCAAACCATTTCTGTTCAAAATGGGAAGAACAGTATTAGGGATTAATGATTATAACTGATTTCTTCATTAATGATTTATTGATGGTTGTTCATTATTATTTTCACTATGTATTTGCCATTTTCAAGGAATGGGTATGTTGTAGGCACTGTCTGCATTGTGACAACATGTAACAAGCTTAATGCTCTGGCTGAGGGCTCAGACAGAGCCATAACGTTCTGTGTTTCTTACATACAGGGTTTCCTGGTCGTTGTTTCCAACTGAATTATGTTTCAGATACCTCACATTTATGAAAGTATTCTCTTGTGAAAATTTTCTAAGTAAAAAATTGTTTAGCTAGGTTTATACCTTTTCTTTAGTTTCAAGTTAGTCTAACAGTCTGCAGAGATCTGCCTTCCCCTGTAGCTGTGCCACTCACCTGAAATCCCTCTCCTGAGTTTGGTGACCTCGGATGTTATGAAATATCCAGTTTTCTCCAAAAACAGAACAGGAATCATTTCTTGTGCATCTTACTATTTTCTTTTCACTGCATAGTTCATTCTCCAAAATATCCCACTGAGGACTTGATCCACTGGTTTTAACTTGAGGGCAAGAACCTGTAACAGTTGGTAACAAAACTAAACCCCCAGGAAAGAAACGGTGGGATAAAGGAAAGAAAAGAGACCATATGCAGATTTCTTTCCATATACTGACCCAAAAATGTAAACACATTTTATAAGGAAAAATGGACATGGGAACAAAGAAAAACTCTGAGGACCCTTAGCTATTTGGAACTTTGGCCATTGTAAGAAAAATGAGTCAAAGTGGCAGCTTGTTCACTAAGAGATACTTCAAAAAGAATGGAGACTGATGTCGAGATCAGTATTTTCAGAAAAGTAAAGTAGGATGGAACTGGGTAAAATGCACATTCCCAAGTGCTCCCTTTGTAAGAGGAGCTACAGAAAGACTTCCCAAGTGGGCAAGGATGGATGAAAACTCCAAGAGGGAAGCCAGGTTAATGACAAACATCACCTTCTCAAAGACAGAGTCATATTTCTAACAGGTATGTCCAAATATCACTCCCTGATCCAGAACCTTCTCCTCCCGAGACGTGTGCCCTCCTGGTGATCGCAGGCACAGAGGCCCTAGACAAAGCCCATCTCCACTGACCCAGCTGCCACTGGGAGATCGGATGGTGTGTGGCTGCTGTCTTGCTCATGGAGAAAAGCTCCTCATGGGGAGGATGAAGGACAACAAGCCATCCATGAGATGGGCCAATTCTCTGGTCCTCAAGTCACTGACAATGGGTAAGTGTGGGTTTAATTGCAGCAAAATTATCATGTCATATGTATACTGATCACAGTGTAACTTTCACAGGGTGAAAACCATAACGCTGCTCTCACTGCTCTAGGTGACACTGCAGAATATGCTCACATTTATAAAATTCGGGACTCTCAGGATTCTAATCAAGAGTGACAAAAAGTCAATCAATACAGTAAACTTTGTTTTCATGGAAAAGCTACCTGACCCTAGGTAGGTTTCATGAAAGGTTGGACTGTGTCTGTCTTTTTTCCAACATGTTCTCATCCTTGTCCCTAATAAGAAAGGACAATTTTAAGAAATATTTGTTCCCTAAAGACTAAGTGCAGGGAGGAAGCCATCCTCACCCACGGAGGCCAGGTTCCTGAAGGTCTCCAGCATCACGTCTCTGTAGAGCTTCCTCTGAGCCAGGTCCAGCAAAGCCCACTCCTCCACGGTGAAGTTCACAGCCACGTCCTCAAAGACCACCGAGTCCTGAAACAGCCACAGGTTCTGTCAGCAAGGCTCCCTCTTCACCCCCGTGTGTGGGAGGATGGGGAGGCCGAAAGTCGGGAACTGGACTCAATTCCTAGAACTCCTGAGCTTACACTCTCTTGTGGGAAATGAACACACACAAGCCAATCAAATGCATTTTACTCAGTGATGCTAAGTGCTGGAAACTGAAGCAAAGTGTAACAGCAATACTTGATAAATACTCACACACACATAATTAGAAAGAATTGTTTTTACTGAAAGAGTATATCCTAAGGTATGATAAAGACTGAAAAATGAAATCATCATTCAGATAACATGGAAATGGATACCTGGCTTGGTCAAAAGTTATTACTACCTTGTCAACTCCAAGAACCGGAAACAGAACGTCAGTGCTGCTGGATCTGAATAACACTTAACTTGAAGGCAAAAGCAGCAGGGAGTCTGGTCTAGCCCCCTCATATCCAACAGAGGCAGAGATACGACCCCCTGCCAAGATGAGATGGACACCAGGGGTATACAGGCAGTCCAGGGCCCAGGGCCTGGCACATCCACTGGGTAAGCAAAGGCCTGGTTCCTCAGGAATCTGTCAAGCCAGTGGAGCCTCTCAAATTAATAACAGAGTGCTCGGAATTCAAGGAACAGACCCCACAAACAAGAGCTATTGAAGGATCTAATGGTAATGGAGTCAAGTTGACTTTAACAGGGAGAAAAAGAACCTAATTATTATTTTTAGAGAAATATTGGGGACTTGCCAGGTGGCACAGTGGTTAAGAATCTAACTGCCAATGCAGGGCACACGGGTTTGAGCCCTGGTCCCAGAAGATCCCACATGCCGCGGAGCAACTAAGCCCATGCATCACAACTACTGCACCTGTGTGCTACAACTACTGAGCCCACGTGCCTCAGCTACTGAAGCCTGAGTGCTCCAGGTCCCACGTGCCACAAATGCTGAGTCCACATGCTACAACTACTGAAGCCTGTGCATCTAGAGCCCATGCTCTGCAATGAGAAGCCACTGCAATAAGAAGTCCACACACCTCAAAAAAGAGTAGTCCCTGCTCACCACGACTAGAGAAAGGCTGCCTGCAGCAATGAAGACCCAACACAGCCAAAAATCAATAAAATTTTTTAAAAAAAGAAATATGGGACCACACTGCACTGATGATATAAACAGACAATGACAAAAATAAAAATTAGAGATTTTTTAAAACAACAAATATGGTCTCAAAATCTGAAGGAAAAACAAATCCCCACAATATCAGCTACAAAGAAGGCAAGGTTACTTCAACTAGGGTTGCAACTGGGTTTGCTAATCACACACCTGATGAGAGGCCTGTATCAGAAATATATTTTAAGAACTCATATGACAACAATAAAAAAAATAAAAGATAAGAATATAAAAGACAAATAATACAGTTAAATAATGGGGCAATAAATGTGAATAGACAATTCTCCAAAGAAGATATACAAATGGCCAATAACCATATGAAAAGAGGCTCAATAGCATGAGTAATTGGTGATCCATATACAAAATTGAATTGTGGAGAGACATTTCCCAACCCCTTCTATGAGGCTTGTATTACCCTGATACCAAGACAAGAAAAAGACATCACATGTAAAGAAATCTACAGAGCAGTATTCCATATAAATATAGACAAACAAATTCCTCAAAAATATCCACAATCCAAATCTAGAGAGATATAAAAAGTACTAAACACCATCACCAAGAGGGATTTATCCCAGGAATAAAAAGTTTGGTTCAAAGAAACAAAGCATTGGTATCAAATACCTTATTAACAAAGAACAAAAACCATATGATCACCTCAATAGACTCAGGAAAAGTATCTGTTAGAACATCACCTTTTCATGATGTTCTTCTCTAAGTGGAAAAGACCACAACTAGATATATAAAAACCAGAAAGGAAAAGTTGCACTGGTAAAGTCAAAGATAAAGTAAAGGTAGTAGATCAACCACTTACAAACCTAGTAGGAAAGTTAAAAGACAAAACTAGTAAATTTATCTATATCCATAATAAGTAGTTAAGGAATACAGAAAACAACATATGTAAAATATGATACAAAAAAATATTAAAGGACTTCCCTGGGGATGCAGTGGTTAACAATCCACCTGCCAATGCAGGGGACACGGGTTCATGCCCTGGTACTGGAAGATCCCACATGCTACAGAGCAACTAAGCCGGTGCACCACAACTACTGAGCCTGTGCTCTAGAGCCTGCGAGTGACAACTACTGAAGCCCACGTGCCTAGAGCCTGTGCTCTGAAACAAGAGAAGCCACCGCAATGAGAAGCCTGTGCACCGCAATGAAGACCCAATGCAATAAAAAATAAATAAATAAATAAAGTTAAAAAAATTAAACACAAGTGGGAGGACTAAAAATGCAGGGCTGTTAGAACTTAAGGTAATCATGTATATAGAAAGGTTGCTATGTATAAACCTCATGGTAACCACAAACTAAAAATCTATAATAGATACACACAAAAGAGAAAGTAATCCAGACATAACACTAAAGATAGTCATAAAATCACAAGAGAGCAAAAGAAAAAAAAAAGAAAAAAAAAAAAAAAAAAGCTATAAAAACAACCAGAAAGCAATTAACAAAATGGCAATAAGTACATACCTATCCATAATCACTTTAAGTAAATGGACTAAATGCTCCAATCAAAAGACATAGAGTGGATCCACCACAGGGCAGACAGCAGAAGCAAGAAGAACTATAATCCTGCAGTCTTTGGAATGAAAACCACTTTCACAGAAAGAATGACAAAATGAAAAGGCCAAGGACTATGTACCAGAGGAAGGAACAAGATAAAAGCCCAGAAAAACAAGTAAATGAAGTGGAGATAGGCAACCTTCCAGAAAAAGAATTCAGAATGATAGTGAAGATGATCCAGGACCTCAGAAAAAGAATGGAGGCATAGATTGAGAAGATACAAGAAATGTTTAACAAAGACCTAGAAGAATTAAAGAACAAACAAACAGAGATGAACAATACAATAACTGAAATGAAAAATACACTAGAACGAATCAATAGCAGAATAACCAAGGCAGAAGAATGGATAAGTGACCTGGAAGACAGAATGATGGAATCACTACTGAGGAACAGATTAAAGAAAAGAGAAATGAAGACAGCCAGAAACCTCTAGGACAACATTAAATGCACCAACATTCACATTAAAGGGGTCCCAGGAGGAAAAGAGAGAGAGAAAGGACCCAAGAAAATATCTAAAGAGATTATAGTCAAAAACTTCCCTAACATGGGAAAGGAAATAGTCACCCAAGTCCAGGAAGTACAGAGAGTCCCAGGCAGGATAAACCCAAGGAGAAACACACTGAGACACACAGTAATCAAACTGACAAAAATTAAGGACAAAGAACAGTTATTAAAAGCAACAAGGGAAAAAGGACAAATAACATACGAGGGAACTTCTGTAAGGTTAACAGCTGATTTCTCAGCAGAAACTCTACAAGCCAGAAGGGAGTGGCATGACATATTTAAAGTGATGAAAGGGAATAACCTACAACCAAGATTACTCTATCCAGCAAGGATCTCATTCAGATTTGACAGAGAAATCAAAAGCTTTACAGACAAGCAAAAGCTAAGAGAATTCAGCACCACCAAACCAGCTCTACAACAAATGCTAACAGAACTTCTCTTAAGCGGGAAACACAAGAGAAGAAAAGGACCTACCAAACAAACCCAAAATAATTAAGAAAATGGTAATAGGAACATACATATTGATAAGTACCTTAAATGTGAATAGATTAAATGCTCCAACCAAAAGACACAGATTGGCTGAACAGATACAAAAACAACACCCATATATATGCTGCCTATAAGAAACACACTTCAGAACTAGGGACACATACAGACTGAAAGTGAGGGGGCGGAAAAAGATATTCCATGCAAATGGAAATCAAAAGAAAGCTCGAGTAGCAATACTCATAGCAGATAATAGACTTTAAAATAAAGACTGTTACAAGAGACAAGGAGGGACACTACATAATGATCAAGGGATCAATCCAAGAAGAAGGTATAATAATTATAAACATATATGCAGCCAACATAGGAGCACCTCAATACATAAGGCAAATGCTAACATCTATAAAAGAGAGAATTGACAGTAACACAAAATTAGGGAGGGACATTAACACCTCACTTACACCAATAGACAAATCATCCAGACAGAAAATTAATAAGGAAACACAAGCTTTAAATGACACAACAGACCAGACAGATTTAATTGATATCATAGGACATTCCAACTGAAAACAGCAGATTACACTTTCTTCTCAAGTGCACATGGAATATTCTCCAGGATAGATCACATCTTGGGTCACAAATCACGCCTTGGTAAATTTAATAAAACTGAAGTCGTCATCAAGCATCTTTTCCAACAACAAAGCTATGAGATTAGAAATAAATTACAAGAAAAAAAACCGTAAAAAACACAAACACATGGAAGCTAAAACAATACGCTACTAAATAACCAAGAGATCACTGAAGAAATCAAAGAGGAAGTCAAAAAATAGGTAGAGACAAATGACAATGAAAAAACGATGATCCAAAACCTATGGGATGCAGCAAAAGCAATTCTAAGAAGGAAGTTTACAGCAATACAATCCTACCTCAAGGAACAAGAAAAATCTCAAATAAACAATCTAACCTTACACCTAAAGTAACTAGAGAAAGAACAAACAAAACGCAAAGTTAGTGGAAGGAAAGAAATCCTAAAGATAAGAACAGAAATAAATGAAATAGAAACAAAGAAAACAATAGCAAAGATCAATAAAACTAAAAGCTGGTTCTTTGAGAAGATAAACAAAATTGATAAACCTTTAGCCAGACTCATGAAGAAAAAGAGGGAGAGGATTCATATCAATAAAATTAGAAATGAAAAAGAAGTTACAACAGACACCACAGAAACACAAAGCATCATAACAGACTGCTACAAGCAAGTCTATGACAATAAAATGGAC